TGTTCCATGACCCCAGTGCCTCAGGGTCCTTGTGTGCAAATGGGGCTGAAAGTGCTCACCTCTCAGATTCAATGCATGGAGCTCCGTGCAGTCTGGCGGGTGGTCAGTGTGCGTGGATAGGAGCATTTTCCCCTGCCTGGCCCTCACAAGCCCTTGTTTGCAACACCCCGCCCAATCTCACAAACGACCCCAACACAAACACAAAACATAACTGAAGGTTCTGAAGGTGTTTTTCCAGCCCCTGGGATTCAGGAGCAGCGAGACAAGTCTGCATGTGAGGCCTGGCTCTGTCTTACTAGTTGGGTTATCTTGGGCACGTCAGTTCACCGGTGGTCTCAGGCTGGTTTTTTGTTGTTGTTGTTGTTTGCTCTGGGCAATTAAGACAGGTTGGTAGGCCTGGAAAATCTCTCCACTGGGGCTTGTGAACTAGAAACCAACCTCTGCAGCCCCAAGGGTGCTTATCTGACCCTTCTGAAGTTTCACTCTCTGCCCCACCCACTGTAGGCTTGATAACACCTTACTTTTTCTTTTGGGAACAAATCACCTCTCCCTCCTCTCATCCTGTGGCTTGTTCTCACCCCTGCAACCCCAGGTGACATGTTTCAAACCTGGCCAACCAGAACCATTCACCACCACAAGACCCAGTCTGTCCCACTGAGAGCCTTCCCTGGACTTTTGCTGCAACCACTGGAAGGGGAAACTTTTCCTGCTGAGGTTGCTGAGCTGGTCTGATACCAAGTCTCAACTCAGAGAAAAACAGGACCAGACTGACCAAGGTCTGGGGAATCATGTGAGCCCCTCAGTCCTGCCAAACCTTAAGTCACAACCACCCCCTCTCCACTTTTCAGTTATAGGAGTTATTCGAATTATTCTATTTTTACTTAAGCGATTATTTTCTGCCATTTATGAATTGAACTCTTAATTCCCCTTCCATCTGTGGTCCCCTCGGACAGTCACAAATCATCTAGTCGTGGGCAAACTTTAAGGAAAATTAAGTTATGGGTCACATTTTTCTTTTTTTTTTTAAGATTTTATTTATTTATTTGAGAGAGAGAATGAGAGAGAGAGAGAGAGAGCACGAGAGGGAGGAGGGTCAGAGGGAGAAGCAGACTCCCCGCCGAGCAGGGAGCCCGATGCGGGACTCGATCCTGGGACTCCAGGATCATGACCTGAGCCGAAGGCAGTCGCTTAACCAACTGAGCCACCCAGGCGCCCCTATGGGTCACATTTTTCAGAGAGCTTTATCTGTGACCACTCTAAAGAGTATTTTATCATCTCTGTCCCCCCCTTTTTTGGGGGGCTAGTATTGCAGAAACTAGCCCAGATTAGATATTGATTGTAATGTCTGTTATGTTCACTACTGAATCTCAGTGCCTAGCACATGGGAGGTGCCTTATAACGTCTTGCTCAACGGATAAATGAACAAGATACTCGTTTGTCTAAAATGTCCCTCCTTGGAGAGACCCTCCTTGACCGCCCTGCAAAACTGCCCCACCCTGCTTTTCCAATGTGATACATTATTTTTGATTTTCTTTATAAATCACCATCTGAATGTACATGTGCATTTATTTATGTTTATTGTCTCTCTCCTCTGGAGGGCAACTCCACCAGGGTTTTGTTCACTGCTGTGTGCCCCGGTGTCCAGGTCAGAGCCCGGCACACAACCAGGGGTCAGTAACATTTGCTGAAGGAATTCACTAATAGGGATCCGCCTTCATCGCCTCATCATGATCTCCTGCAGGAAGACCACTCCTCATCCGGTCGTGGGTCCCCTCCGAAAGTGTTTGGAGCAGATGGCAACATTAATTCACTGTGTCAGGTGGCGAAGCTCCCATTTTGAAGCCCAAGGGAGGAGGAGGGCAGCTAGGAATGGGATAGGGGTGGGGCCTCGCCCTCCAGGCCCCTTAACCATCCCCCAACCATCCCCCACCCACCAGCCCACCCAGAAACACGAGGCAGCCGAGGTAAGTAGACTCTTGCTGCTTTGTTATAAATATATTATGTACATCCGAAACATGACATTAAAATAGTACTCCGTGTTACAGAAAAGATATTAAGGCTTTCTATTATTTACATTAAACAAGCAAGCACCTTTAAAAAAAAAAAAAAACAAACCAAAACAAAAAAGCCCCATTCTTCCTTCTTGGACATCCCCCTAGCCAGAGGGGACTCTGTGTCCCCTTCCAGATGGCCAAGACCCGTTGCAGGGGCTGCACTCTGTGAAGACATCCTCTGATTAGAAATATCAGCTCTGGCTGGAATCCCATGGGCAGATGGGGAGGGGCGGGGGGAAGGGGGTCCAGGCTTGGGCAGGGGAATCCTGCCTCTTCTCCCACCCTAGCTGCACCTGGCCATCCTTGGGTGAACAGGCTAGGCTGAAGGTGGTGCCTGGGGCTGTTCACCCACCCAGGCTTTCAGGGTCAGTTCGAAGGGCCATGGCAGGGCAATGCTCCAGGCACACATAGGTGTGCCTGGGGGGCTCGTAGGCCACTGGGGGCAAACAAAGAGAGACAGAGAAGACGACTCGGTGGCCCCAACGCCAGCCACGCTGAAGGGCTGCCCAGTGAGGCGGGGGTGGGGGGGTGGGGGAGGCTGGGGGAGTGCAGGGAGTGGATGAGCTTCCCCTCTACCCAAGGAATGGCTAGTAGGGCGGGGCTCCTTTTTCTGCAGAGTCAGGCTTGGAGACAGAGCAGCTCAGGTGGCTGGGGAGGGGCCAAGGAAAGAAAATGAAAAAAAGGAAATGAAAAATCAGTGGCTCAAGTATTCTGTGTCACGAGGGGTGGGCTGGGGGGTGCCCGGGCCCAGCCCAGGAGGCGTCCTCCCCATCTGGAGGGGCCAGCACGAGGAGGCTGGAATTTGGCAGATGGCTTCGGTTTGGGGGGCTGGGGAAGGTTGGCAATAAGGTGGCAGGCTCCAAGGAGTTATTTGATCTTCTGGGCCCATTTCATGTCGTCTGCCCGAGGCTTCTCACCGGTCAGGCCCTGGATGAGGTCCTCTAGGCGTCGCCAGAAGCCTATCTTCTCTAGAGGGTAGTTGAGCCAGCCTGCAGTGGAAACAGGGCATGGGGTTTTGAACGGGAGAGTGGCAGTTAAGGAGATGGAAGAAAAGTGCTGGCTTTGCCTGGGGCAGGGGCACCGAGGAGTCAGTCTGGACAGGGCAGGGGACAAGGGCTGACCAAGGAATCTGGGGGTGGGGACCTCCCACCAATGGGCTTAGGGGCTGCTCACACATGCCTTCGTCCCCTCACTCATTCACTTTCTTACCCAGTGCTTATTATGTGCCAGGTAGGGTGGGAGCATTTCTTATCACCAGGCTCCCCTGCCACCTCTTCCAGGGAGCCTTCCTTGACCACATCACCCTCTTTTGTTTCGTTACAGCTTTTATGATGACCTGTAACCATTCTCATTAATTCACCCCCTTCCTGTTTTGTGTTGGTTTTTCTCCGCAACTCCCAACACAGCAGAACCCCGTGTTTTTCCACTGGTGATCCCCGGGCACATAGTAGATGCTCAATAAATATTGCTCACGCTCTTACTTCCTCTCTTTTACAGCCTCCCACCCAAATCACGAGGTAGGTACTATCTGTGCCATTTTCCGGATGCAAAGACAGGCTTGGAGGGGAGTCTCCCAGTTAGTGGGTGGCCAAACCAGGATGGACCCTAGGCCTGGCTGAGCAGTTACCTGATCTCAACAGCCTAAATTCTAACCCCTCCCCCTGCCCAAGAACATGACTTTCAGACATACAAAAACCATTTTTTGTGGTTCTCAGTTCTGCCTCCAGAAAGACAATGCACCCCGCCCCCTGTGAAAACCAGGAGCTGTAACTTATCCAGGAGCTATCACATGACAAGCACCTGGCCTCTGCCATAGTGCCATTCACAGCCTGGCCTGGGAAGGCCGTATGTAAGGAGGGCACTGCAGCCCCATTCCGGGGTGGGAGGCAAGGAGCTGATATAGTTGAGCCAAAGCCGGCCTGACTTACTGTCAGGATGCCGAGAGCACCTCAGTCCCACTGAAGTTTGATGCCAGGCGGCCCCAGCAAACCTGCTCCATTCACCTTTGGTACGGGCCCATGAACCCCCAACGGCATGTGGGTCTCCTTACTGTTCCTCAGCCACACCAGGCATGTTCCTGCCTCAGGGCCTTTGTACTTGCTATTGCCTTTGCCTGAACTGGTCTGTCCTGACTTGGCTGCAGGGGTCCCTCTCACGCTGGTTTCCGATTTCTCACCTCCTTCTATGAACAGCTACCCCTGCCTCCTCACGCCACGTGTCTCTGCCCTTTACCCTGCTCTGTCCCCCATAGCATTTCTCACATCTAGACTTGGTCATCTCCCCTCTACTCTGCCCCTAATGCCCTTCGCTCCTAACTACCTTGCAGTTCCTCAAACCAACCAGGCACATGTGTCCTCCTTCAGGCACTTTGCACCTGCTGTTCCTGTGGCCTGGACTGCTCTTCCTCCAGATCTGCATCATTCTCTCCATCAGTTCAAATGTCCCCTTCTCAGTGAGGCCTTCACCGACCGCCTTCTCTCAAGGGTAAAGTCCCCCAGTTCCTTCTCCTACCCTCTGCTTTGTTTTGCTCCACAGCAGTCGGCATGGTTAAGTGTACTGCTTCTGTACTGTCTGGCATGTCCCCTAGGAGAACAGGAATTGCCACGAAGGCAGGGATCTGTGCCTGTTCCTTTGGTGCTGTGTCCTAAGCCCAGGAAAGTGCGTGGCACACGGTAGGCGCTCAACAAGTATGAGCTGGCTGGCTGGCTGGGATCACAGCTCCATGAGGTGGGAGGTGGGAGTGGGGAAGGTCGTCCCCCTCATACTGCTGTGTCCTCCAAACCTAGAATGCTTGGCACATAGTAGGTGGGTGTGTGTTGTAAAAGCATGCTCCTGCAGGGCAAGGATTCCAGGACCTCCTCCTGTGACCTCTGCCCTACCGACCCTGAGGATGGAGCTACAGCTGGAGGTGGGGACAACCTATTCCATGCCACCCTGTAGCCGCACCTGTGGTGATGCAGAAGTAGGTCTCGTGGGGAGAGACGTGGTGGATGCGGTGGTGTTTGCGTGGCAGGATGATATGCCAGTCCTGCAGGAGGGTGACCCAGCGTGGCAGCCCAAAGTACGTGTGTGACCACTTGTGGATTTGGTTGGTGAAGGTGCCGAAGAGGATCAGGCAGAAGATGAAGCACTCCCAGGGGTACAGCTGCTCCAGGGCTTCTGCAAGGCGGGGAGAGGGTGGTGCCCACAGGGCCACACAGTTGTCACCGGGCGGGGCCGCCACCAGCCTGGCCCTCACCACTTGCCCCTGGGCAGCTCCCAGGCCTCCTTCCACCCTCCCCCATGGTCTCAGGCAAGTTCACACTCCCCTCTGGGCCTCAGTCCTCTCTTCTGTTCAGTGGGCAAATAATGGAGTCAGCATAAGAAATTGTTACAGATGTAGGCTCTGGAGTCAGGCAGAGCTGGGTTCAGGTCCATGCTCTGAGATTTCTTGGCTATATGAGTTTGGGTCATGCCTCTGCCTCTTTGAGTCTCAACTTCGTCATCAGTAAAATGGGAATAAGTCTTTGTCCAGGTTCTCTAGAAGCAGAGCTTGAGACAAGGGTTCATGTGCTCATAATTTATATGAGAACGAACGGGGCGGGGGGGTGTCCTCTGTCCTCTGTTCAGAAAAACACCTGAGCGGGTGAGGGAAGCAGGGGGAGGGCTAAGCAATGATGGGGTTGGGGGAGTCTTGTCAGCCTGATCCTGGGGGCAGCTTGGGAGGGTTAATGGCTCCACAGAGTTGGTCCCACCCAGAGGTGAGAGGGCTGGTCTTCTGTAGGCTTTTCCTGTCACTTCAGGCTTGGGCTTCAGGCTTATCCCAAGGGGAGAGGTGGGACCTACTCTGGCAGTTCTCAGAAGGGACAGCTGGGAGTTGTTAGCTGCCACCTCTCATGGCAGCCGGGGGACGGGTGCAAGCCTGTGGAAGAGCATACGGGCAGGCACTGCAGCTCCCACCACACCACAGCAACTCCTCTCATCTACCCACAGAGGGAGCGGCTGCTCTAAGGATCCATGAGGTATCAAGTTGTTAGAACAAGACCGGGAACAGAGGAAGTACTTATCCCCCCCGCCCCCCGCCCCCTTCTGTCCACCTGACAGGTAAGGTAACTGAGGCTCACAGAGGTGAGAATGACTTGCTTTCTTCCCCAAAACAGGCAGAGCAGAGATCAGAACTCAGAACTTCCTGAGTTCACAGCCTATATTCTTCCGACTAAGCCAGGGCAGCCAAGCCAGCAGCCCTCAGGGCCAGGCAGGTCATGCAGATGAGCAAGGTGGGCCAGGTGTAGGACAGCAGGGGGTAATGGGGACTGTCTAAAGATGGCGACCGCAGCTCAGCTCCCACCAGTGGGAACGAAGACCCAGGATGGCCAGAGCGGATCGTCCAAGAGAAGCTGGGAACACAGATTTTTATGTCAAATATCCCAATTTTATAGGACGATAACTAAAAATCTTTTATACGGTTGTGAGGGGACTCTGTCCCTGCAGCCCCTTGCAGCCCACCGCCAGTTGTGGCACGCTCACCAGGGCTCTGGGTGTGGAACTTGTAGGCCATGTTCAGCAGAGGCAGCAGTGTCAGCAGGCAGTTGTCCCCGTTGGTCTCGATGAAGTCGTGTCGGGTGATGGCTGTGGGGTCGATGTGATGCTCCCGGAAGGGTCGAATGAAAGCCTGGGGTGGGGGTGCCGGTGGGAGAAGAGATATATGGGACCAGTCAGCCTGTGGTGGCCAGCCTCTCTCCCCCACCTCCTGTGCACACTGGACTCGGGCTCGTCTCCTGGCCTCTGGGATGCCAGAACATTCCACCATGCTACTGATAACAGAGCCCACATGGCCTTCAGGGTCCTGGTCTAAACAGCTCTGGCAGAAGACAGTCGCAATGACTTGGCGGGGACCTCGGGATGGTACTGCCCCACTTGGGGCCTCAGTCTCCCCATCAGCGGTGTGCGGGGAGTTGGAGACAATCTCCACCCCTCTTCCGCACTCTAATACAGCTGAGGACGCCCCTCACAGTGGCAGGCAGGCCCCCTCTATTTCTCCCCTGCGGCCATGCCCCTCCTAGTAACAGTCTCCCCCTCTTCCTCTTGTGTTGGTACAAGCTGTTCCGATGGGGCTGACCCCTCCGTCCCCTAGGTAAATGTGAGCACGTGACCCTGGCCCGGCCAATCAGAGCATCTCTCTGCCATAGTGACTGACAGGGATGCAGAGAGATGGGAGTCATGAGAACACGGTATGACCGTCTGTCCTACTGGACCCGGCAACGCTTTACCTTGGTTCTACTCTTGAAATGTTCAGTTACATGAATCAGTCCCTTTATTTGGTTAAGCCAGCTTGTACCGGACGTTGTGTCACAAGCAAAGAAGTCTGATAGAAGGCAAAGTTCAATTAAAACGAACAGTGAGACGCAGCAGGGCTGGCAAAGGAGAATAAGACGTGGCCCCCAAATTCATGGGATAGTCAGAAAGAGACGTGGCCCCCAAATTCAGGGGGTTCAAAGCTCTCTGACTATCCCAGGCTTCATGCTTTTGCTTCCAGAAAATCCCAGGGGGGTTTCTAGTCTCTTCTGGTCCCAGAGGAGGGGCATGGGGTCAGGCTGGAATGATGGTTTCCGTCTTTCAAACAGGGAAACAGAAGGCTCAGAGAGGAAGGGGGCTCACCCAAGGTCAGACAGCCCAACGCCCTGCTGGGCGGCAGGGCTGGGTCAATATACGCACCTTCCCCACGATGGGCAGCTCCACGGAGCCCCAGGTGTCAGCTCCCCAGTGCACCAGGCCAGACAAGAAGTCAGCAATGAGAGCACCTGCAACTGTGGGCAAGAGGAGGGTGAGGTGGGGGGTGGGGGGCCCCCAGGGGGGCAGTCCTGCCCACCCTCCACCCCACAGTAGGGAGCCCCTCCTCGTTCATTCACTTGCCTGCTTGCTCACTCACTCATTATGGGGGGGGGGTGTCCCTTCTCTACTTGGGATGCTTTTCTCCCTGTGAACGGAGCCTTCGGGGTAACACTCCTGCCCCTTTACTTGCTCTGCCCAGGGCATGTGTGGGGACTCATTTGCCTGGTGAGTCTGGAGGAAATCAACTGGGCATGCGCAGATCAACTCAATTTTCCCTATGAGGAGCTGCCGGTGCCCTTCTCTGACCCTGATCCCTCCGCAGAGGGAAGCCCGCTCTGCTTCGGTGTTGCCAGTGACTAGATGGAAATGTCCTTCTGGGCTCTGGTGTCGGAGACACCTGAGGTGCGGACAGGAGCCACGCCTTCCTCCCCAACCTAGCTTTTGTCACAATAAATGTCATGATTTGGCCTCTGGAAGCCTTTTCCTTGACTTTGCTCTCCATGTGTTCGGAAGTGGACCGGGGTTCCCTCAAAGAGCCCAACACCATTCACTTACTTGAGGGTTCAGGCTAATACAGAGGTTAAGAGCTGTTAGATCTGGACTTAAATCCTAGCTGTCTCTCACTAGCCGTGTGATGTTGGGCATGATACTAAGCTCTCTGTGCCCCGGTTTCCTCTAGATGGATGGGCATGGTCATTATAAAAAACACAGCGGCTACCATATATTGAGCACTTTCAGGGCCTGACACAAGTGCTTTACGTGCTTGATCTCAGTGGATTCTCAGTCTGGTCCAAGCTGGTACCACCCTCATGCTCCCCTTACAGAGGTGGGTAACGGGAGGCCTGGAGAACAGAAGTGACTGGGCAGGGGCCACAAAGATGGCAAGTGGCACAGCTGGGCTCTTAACCTGCCTTGAGGTCCAAATCTATCACAGCAGGATGCACCACCACCCCTGCACACGGGGGGAAACTGAGGCAGAGTGGCCCGCTCCCTGTGCGAGGGAACACCCCAGTGCTGTCCCCATCACTCTCCCTGCTCACTGCCACCTCAGCCCCTCCTGGCTCCTGTCTTTCTTTCTCTCCAAGCACCTATCCTTGTGGACTTCACTCCTGTTTGCTCATGGTCTCAAGAATGTCAACTCCACAAAGGCAGGGGTTTTAGTCTTTTGTTTATGTCTCCATCCCAGTTCCTGGCACTTAGTAGGGGGCTCAGTAAATATTCCCGGAATTAATGCAGACTACTAAAGTATAGTGCGTGGCACAGAGCAAAAAGATCAATTGTTGTTGTTCTTCGGTCATTCTGCCTATCCAGCAACATTCGGTGAGGACCTACTGTGTGCCAGGCTCTTGAGCCGAGAGATGTAGCAGACACCAAGCTCACGGTCCCCTGGGGCAGAGCGATGGGGTGGGGGGCGGTGGCAAGCTGTAAACCATGCAGGCCACGAATGCAGTTTCGAGTGGCAGTACGTGTAGTCTGTTGGGTCACAGGACTTCAGGCAAACCCTTTCCCTCCTCCTCTCCAGGCTGGTTCTCCCTGTGAAATCTTCTGAGGCCCAGCTGGGCCATTTAAGGGTTCTCTGAGTTTTGCTAGGGTCCTCAGCTCCTTGGTGATAGGGGACCGGGGCCTTGGGACACTGTGGAGGCTGCAGAAAAACCCCTAGATGCCATCCAGGCTGGGCGGTCCTGCTCCTCAGTGACAGTGCTAGGACGGTGGACCTGGGCTAGGGGAGTGGGGAGGCTGGAGAGACAAAAGCCAACAATGGCTTCTTCTTCTTCTTTTTTTTTTTAAGATTTTATTTAGGGGCACCTGGGTGGCTCAGGTGGTTAAGCGACTGCCTTCGGCTCAGGTCCTGATCCCAGGATCTTGTTCCTTGCTCAGCGGGGAGTCTGCCTCTCCCTCTCCATCTGCCCCCGATCCCCCGCTTGTGCTCTCTTGTTCGCTCTCTCTCTCTCTCTCTCAAATAAATAAAATCTTTATTTATTTATTTTTTAAATTTCATCCATTTATTTGAGAGAGCAAGGTGTGGGAGTTATATTCCCCAATAATGCATTTTTAACATCATTGACATAGGGCCTGGCACACAGGAAGCACTCCGTGATGTTAACCACTATCATAAATACTGTTTTTCTAATATTTTATTATTATTTATTATTATTCTTGTCATCTGTAAGGATTAAATGCTTAGGACGATTAAGGAGATAAGATATGTAACTGGCTTAGGACAAGCCTTGGTACAGTTTAGGGATTAAGAGAGATAAAACATTTAAGGTGCTGGTACAGGGCGTGGTACCTATAAGTGATCAATAAATAGTGAGAACAAATAAACAGCTGGCAACCTGGCCCAAAGTAGCAATGCAGGCATATGTCTGCCTACAGGCTTGTGCGTGAATGTTAAGCTTGACTCCTAGCAGCTGCACCTGGAAAGCACCCAGACATCCAACAGCTAAATTGATAAATGCACCATGGTACATCCAGACAATGGAATACTGCTCAGCAGTAAAAAGGATGTGCCATGAGAGAGATAAAGCAGGGAGATGTGACCAAGAGCACCTGCAGTTGGTTAAGCATCGGATTCTTGATTTCGGCTCAGGTCGTCTCGTGGGTAGTGAGACTGAGCCCTGTGTTGTCAGGCTCCACACTCAGCGGGGAGTCTGCTTCTCTCCCTCTCCCCTCCCCACCTCCCCTTCTCAAGTAAATAAATAAATAAAAAGAAAAACTCCAGGGGGCACCCGGGTGAAGCGTCTGCCTTCGGCTCAGGTCATGATCTCCGAGTCCTGGAATGGAGCCTGGTTTCCAGCTCCCTGCTCAGCGGGGAGTCTGCTTCCCCCTCTCCCTCTGCTCCTCCCCCCTGCTTGTGCTCTCTCTCAAATAAATAAAAAAATCTTAAAAAGAAAAGAAAAACACCAGACAAATTCCCATAGAGGGGTGCCCATGAGATACCAGGGCTCCTCAAAACTGTCAAGGTCACCAAAAACAAGGAAAGTCTGAGAAACTGTCACAGCCAAGAGAAGCCTAAAGGAACATGATAAATAAATGTGAGTGGGATCCTAGATGGGATCCTGGAACAGAAAAAGGACACGTTAGGTAGGAACTAAGGAAATCTGAATAAACTATGGACTTTAATTCATAATAATGTATCCATATTATACGGTATCTTGATTGTAACAAATGTACAGACACTAATGTAAAATATAAGATGTTAACAATAAGGGCAACTGGGAACAGGCGGTGTATGGGAACTCTCCGTACTACCTGCTCGTTTTCTGTAAATCTAAAACTTTTAGTAAATAAAATCTGTTTTTGAAAAATCGCATCATCTTATTTCACGTCCACAGTGATGGGCCCCAACACATCCTGACTTTCCAGGGGAGGAAGGACACTCGGAGGGTAAGCGCAGTCGGGGCTGCGGGTGAATGGCCGGGGACCATAGTGAGGGCGGTTCACAATGATGCTGAGCCTTCATGTCCGGATCTGAGAAATGCGGACTTTAATAGCACTTACTTTCCTTAAGTACAGTAGGTTAATAAACTGGGCTAATGCACGGAAAGTCAGTCCCTGGAACATGGCAAGCGCTCCCAAGGTAGCTCCAGGGGTTACCCACCTCCCCAGGTCTCAGTTTTGTCATCTGTCGAATGACCAGCACCTGACCTTCGCAGGCTGCCAAGCAGGGAGGGATGTGTGCTTTGGACAGATGTCCGGAATTATTTTTGGAGAGAAGGAGCACCCCCCCTCCCTGGGCTCTCTGAGCCCCAGGCCTCTGCAAGCGGCTGTTTCTAGAGCAGTGACTCCAGGAGTCATTGGCCTGCTGCCTGAGGAGGCTGTAATGGGGGGCAGGGGTGGCCAAGACAAACACACAGGGCATCTTTGTCCCAGTGCAGGTGGCAGCGGCTGGAGCTGGCTCATCCTGGGCGCAGCTTGGGCCCGGTCAGCACCCCATGTGCAGGACACTGGAATAGGGTACAGGATGGTGAATAACTCACTCGGGGCCACCCTGACCCACTGGGTGGGGCCTTCATCTGGCCACAGGTCACCCAGCTGTGCCTTGTTAGCCCCCTCCCATTTCAAGGCCTGGCATGGAGACCGTGAGAGCAGCTAAGACTGATGCGATCATGCCTGGGGGGCTCAGGTATGATCCCAGGGTCCTGGGATGAATCCGGATGAAGCCCTGCATCGGGCTCCTTGCTCAGCAGGGAGCCTGCTTCTCCCTCCACCTGCCGCTCCCCTGCTTGTGCTCATATGCTCTCTCTCTCTGACAAATAAATAAAATCTTAAAAAAAAAAAAAAGAAAGAAGAAAGCAATCAGCTGAAGGCAGGCTGCTCCACAGGGGCTGGGCCAAATCCTGGCTTTTTTTTTTTTTTTTTACCATCTTTCAGCTTGACTCCTCACCTGACCCGAGGCCAGGTGACCTCTGACTTCACCACCAGTCTTTGCATTCATTGTGTTCCCTTGCCTGGAACACCCCTCCTCTACCAGGACACCAGAAACTTCTACTCACTCCTCAAGGGCCAACTCATAAGCGCCCAAGCTCTTCCTCCACTTTCCCCAGGCACAGCCAATAGCTCAAGGCTCCCAGGGACATTCATTTGTTCACACTTTCACTGATGACAACACTGTCCTTGTCAAGGTCACTGATGGCCTCCACGTGGCCAAATCCGGTGGTCCCCTTGCTGCCCCATCCTGCTGGTCTGCTCCACGGCCACTCCTAGTTGACCCCCAAGTCTTCTGGAAACACATTCTCCTTCTGCCCTCTGCAACCCCTCCTGCCCCCTCAGCTGGCTCTTCCTCCTTCCCCCACAGCCTGGAGGCACGGGGGCCTTGGGCCTCTTCTCTGCCTGCACTCAGCCCCTGGGGGCACTCTGCCAGCATCTGAGCTTCAAATACCTCTTCTACTGAGAGGACTCCCAGATTTCTATCTCCGGCTGCCTTCCCGGACACCACACTTGGATTTGCAATTTCCTGCTTGGCACCTCGCCCTGGCTCTCAGGCAGGCAGCTCAAGCATCTCCCCGCAAGCCGCCTCTTCCCACCCCTGTTAATGGCCACCTCGTCCCTTCCATCAAAGCCTGAGAGTTGCCACCGACAGGCCCTCTCTCACCTCCACAGCCAAGCTGACAGGACACGTTGGCCGCTCGCCTCACACAGCTCACCAAAAATCTGACGATTTTTTGCTGCCTCCACTGCCCTACCTGGTCTGGGCCACCATGCTCGCCTCCTCTCCGGGCCTCCCTGCCCCCATCCATCTTCCCTGTAGCTCACCAATGGCCCCTCGTGGCCTGTAGAACAAAACCGTGAGTCCAGACCACGGCCCTGCAGTCTACACCCCCCTCCTCCCACCTCTGAGCTGCCACCAACTACTTTTCCTCGGATCAACCTTCTCCAGCCACACTGGCTTCCTGTCTGTTCTCTGGGCACACACCAGCCTCTGGGCCTTTGTACCTGCTGTTCCCTGCTGCCCCTCCCCCAGATACCTACCTGGCCTCTTCCCTCGCCTCCTTCAGGTCTCCCTGCAAATACCACTTTTCCAGAAGGGCCTTCCCTGCCTGTTCTCTTATCTTGGTTTTGCTTCCCAGCATTGCATCATTGGTCCATGTTTATTAACTGGGCACCTTTTCATGCTTCCGCCTCCCCTGGTTTCCAGGGCCTGTCAGAGGTGCCGGAACCTCTGGGGAGATAGTGCTGGGCTAGAGGCAGGCTCTGCAGACTGGCACGGCGCCTGGCCTCCTGCGTGTTAACACACAAATCAGGGTGGCTACTTAAATCGATTAGGGACTTTGCAAGCACCACTATCAGGAGATTGTCTGCTCTTATCAGCCCAGAGGCAAAGGTGTGGGATGGGGGAGCTGGCGTCACACGCTGTGACTGGACAGCCCGAGTTCCTGAGCCAGGGATGGGAAGGAAGTTCTGATCCCAACCAGGGAAGGGAGGTGGTGACCTGCCTGGGACACCCAGGCTCGGGGCTCACACAGCACACACCTGGGCTCCCACACGTTCTCCTCCCGGTGCTAACTGGAGGCTGTCCGGCCCCTGCTGGGAGAGGCTGTGGCTTAAGAGCTGGGCAGGTCTGGACGTATGATCCCAGACTCAGCTGCTGCCCCGGGGACGGCCAACTGGCAAGTCACCTGGCCTCTCAGAGGCTGGTGATCATTGCCTCCTCACTAGGTTGACACCAGGAGTTAAAAAGTGCCCAACGTGCAGCTTGGTGCACAGCAGGCACTTGGGAAATACCCGCTGCTAAACAGAGCTCTATGTCGGAGGGCCTCCTCCCTACCTCTGCTCAGTCACCGGTACCTCGGCAGCTACACACACCTGCATTTTGCCCATACAACAGCCCAAGGAGGCAGGTACTGCAAGCAGCCCCAATGTACAGATGTGGAAAACAAGGCTCAGAGATGCAATGGCACCTGCCCAAGGCCCTACAGCCACAAGGTAGGAGAGCGGGGCCAGGGCCTGCTCGTCACCACCCCAAGATGGAGTACCAGGGCTCATGCTGGCTACATTCCTGCCCTTCAATGTAGTGCCTGGAGGCCGAGAGGCTGCAGGTGAGGTCCCTCTCATCCCTGGGCAAAGGGGGCATGTGTGGCTCCTGAGGTGGGGCCCAGGCTCCCCAGCACCGGATGGGTTAACTCCTTGTCCTCCAGCTGGCCCAGCCCCCAGCACAGGCCCACCCCACCGCAGACCCAGATGGCTCAATTAGCCAGCCTGAGCACTATTGGCTTAGGTGACCAGAGTGCTTTTAATGAGATTGTGGGAGCTGAACACTTAGGGAGGACCAGGAGGGCAGACCAAGGGCACAGATGCCCCCTCTGCCTGGGAGCCTGGGGCAGGGGAGGGGATGAGTGCCTGAGTCTGAGGGCAGAGGGGAGGCCGGTGCGTGGACAGGAGGGAAAGGAGTCACCCCAGGACCTGGGAGTGGAGATGGTGAATGAAGAACTATGTTGTGCTTCTGGCTTGAGGTGTGACGCTGGCCTGCCCTTCTCTAAGCCTCAGTTTGCTCGTCTGGCAAATGATGACAAGTGTAGCATCCGACTCCCTGGCTGTGGACGGGGGAGGCCCGACCAATGGGAAACACGAGCAGGTACTGTTAAGTTGCAGCTTGCTCATTCATTCATTCCCTGATTCGATAAATATTTATATCAAGTACCTCCTGTGTGCCAGGCCTCATGCTTGGGGCTGGGCTGCAGCAGAGAACACACAAGAATGTCTGCTCGCAGGGATCTGAGATTTGAGTGGAGGGAGACAGATACTGAGCAAATAAATACATTGTGTAACAGTATGCTGAAGTGATGGTGTATGGTAGGGCTGCTATTTTTGAGGAGTAATCAGGGAGAGCCTCCCTGAGGAGGTGTCCTCTGCGTAGAGACCCAGATGAGGAAGTGAATCAGGTAGGTGTCTGTGGGAAGAGAGTTCCAGGCACAGGAACCGCATGCGCAAAGGCCCTGAGATATGAGTGTGTCCAACAGCGCATGGCGGAGACACAATGAGGAGGCCCGTGTGGAGGGAGCACGCTGTCCCAGAGAAGAGTGGAGGGAGATGGTGTCTGAGGAGGAACTGAGGAGTCGGTGTTTTATTCTACGTATACAGAGAATGGGGGTGTAGCATGACCTCACTGGGGGTCTAACGCGGTCCTTCTGGCTACCAGTGAAGAACAGACAGCGGAGGCAAACGGGAAGGTTGGGAACCAGGGAAGAGGCTCCCACAAAAGTCCGGGCAGGAGAGGCCAGTGGCCGGACCAGAGTGAGAACAGCGGAGGTGGAGAATAATGTTTGGATTCTGGGGCTTCTCCCTCTCCCTGCCTCCCACTCATGCTCTCTCTCAAATAAACAAACAAAATCATTAAAAAAAAAAAAAAAGTAGAGCCAAGGGCATTTGCTGAGGGCTGGATATGGAACGGAAGACAAAGAGAGGAACTGAGGATGATGTCCAGGGTTCTGGCCCAAGTAAGAGAACGGAGGTGTCACTGAGACAGAGGTGGGGTTCCCACAGCACGTCCTTGATTCACATGTGCACACAGGCACGCGCACACACACGTGGGCACGCACAGCCACACACCGTGACACATGTGTGCAAGTTGCCATCAGAGTGGCGCAGACAGTGGGTAGGTCCCTGACCCCCGGGGAACCCGAGGGAGGCAGAGCGCGGGGCCCCGGGCACTCACCGACACCCAGCATGACGAGGGGCGTGTGCTCCCAGCGGGCCACCAGCAGGAGGTGGACCAAGTTGTGGGCGATGAGGCTGAGGCACAGGACCACGCAGCACCACTCCTGGAAGCGCTTGCCTGCAGGGACAGGAGGCCAGAGGTGAGCGCGGGGCAGGTGGGGAAGGCCGCGGGGCTGGGACTAAAGCCAGGCAGGGCCGGACCTGTACAAGCTCTTCCATGTGTTCAGAGTCTAATGTGTGCGGCACAGGCTGAACATAGGGGCTGCCATGAAGAAAAGGCCTCAGCCTACCCATTTCACAGATGATGTCACTGAAGCCCAGAGAAGGGAAAGAGTCGGCCCAAGGCACCAGCCCATGAAGCTGGCCTTGCACAGGCCAATTCTTTGGCAGATAGGACCAGAACTTGTCTCCTGGGCCCTTGTGGGCTCTTTGGAGAAGCTCCAGGGAACTTTAATGAGCTTTTTTTCAACTGACCTCATGGCATCACTTGTCCCCTTTGGTACATAATTATTTGGAGGTGGAGGCTACTGACACCTTTTAACCCTAGAGGATCAGATCCTGTCCAACATTCATCAAGCAGGGCTCCAATGAGTCAGGGATTTAGGAGAAATGGGCCTTGGTTACCACTTCTAGGGCTCCTGCCAGGAGCAGGGGGTCTGGTAGCACGACACAGGAGATGAGGGGCTGCAAACCCCCAAAGCCTCCAGGGGCCAGGCAGGTGATGTGGAGTAAGGTGGGCTGCGTGGGGGCTGTGGGATGCGGCACCCGTGCCCTTTGTGAAGGAGGGTCACTAACGTGCGAACTCCTGCCACGTGGGAGGGCAGGCCCAGGGTGCCCGAGCTTCTAATTCCCAAGAGAAGCCAGAAATCAAGACATGGGTGTGAAATCTTTTTAAATCTCCTGCCACATATTTTTAAAAGGCATCTGAGCTCAGACAAGCTGATTCACTCACTGCTGCAGCTCTGTCTGAGGTGTCTTTTGGGAGGGTCTCAACACTGGAAACAACGGAAGTGTCCAGCGCCTGGGGGATCAGCCAAATTAATTTGGTCCATGGCATCCTTGCAGCCAGAAAAAAATGCCTGGGTGGCTGTTTATACGTGGACATGGAGGTGTCCAGGACAAGAACGCAAAGTGCTCACCAGCAGCCATTTATGTACGAAAGGAAAAAGCTACCTGGTCAAGACTGGCTTTCACTTAACCCTCTTGGAATTTAGTATTTGTGAATGTACTCCTCTACCAAAAATCTTTTGTAATTCGTAAATTAAAATTTAAAAATATAAAAGGGAGGGGCGCCTGGGTGGCTCAGTTGGTTGGGCGACTGCCTTCGGCTCAGGTCATGATCCCGGGGTCCTGGGATTGAGCCCCACATCGGGCTCCCTGCTTGGCGGGAGGCCTGCTTCTCCCTCTCCCACTCCCCCTGCTTGTGTTCCCTCTCTTGCTGTCTCTCTCTCTCTCTGTCAAATAAATAAAATCTTTAATAAAAATAAAAATATAAAAGGGAAGAAAAACATTGCGTGGGTGGTGCAGATTGCGCCACAGGAACCCTGGGGATACTGTTTTCCCAGGCAGCTGGTCCCAAGGGCATGGAAGACCCTTAATGATGATAATTTTCTTATCATTAGTGTTTAACATCTACTGAGCAGTTGCTATGGGCCAGGTGCCTACTGAGGTGATGCCAATTTGCAGATCAGAGATCAGAGGGTCAGAGTGGTCCCGAGGAAGTAACCTGAGGCTGCATAGCTAGTTAGCTACACACTAGGATCCTATGGCTGGGCAGGTCCTTCTGAGTGATGAACACCTGAAGGGGACATGGCAGAGAGAGGGGTCCTCCTGTGTCTGTCCTCTCTTAGTGCTTGCTATTCCCTTCACTCGCTTCTGACCTGGAGTGACTCTGGCAATGCCCTTGCAGACTTCCACCTCCAGGAGGCCATCCATGATGCTCCCTCTGACTCTTGGACTCCCCCCGGCATAGGGCTGCCCCTATGACATCCATCTTCCCTGACCCAAACGCGAACTCAGGAGGCCCAGGACCATGGCCGGCTTGCTCACCAGGGCCCTGGCACACAGCTGGTACTCAATAAGTGCCCATGGAATGAACAAATTCATGAACAGAATCTTAGAGGACAACTGCCAGGCTTTGTCTGTGGGGGCACCTCACCAGAGCACCTTCAAAGGAAGTATCAGGCATTGCACTGCTCCTGCTAGGGAAATAGGTCCAGAGAGAGAGAGAGAGAGAGAGAGAGAGAGAGAGAGAGAGGGAGGGAGGGAGAGAGAAGGGCCTTGGCCAGGACCTACAACAGCATGCTGAGCCCTGGGCCAGAATCAGAACAGCTGCCCTCCCTTTGCCCGTAAAAAGACCAAGGGTCAGAGGGGGAAAGGACCACGCCCAGGGTTGCATCCCCTCAGCCCCATCTTGTACAGATGAGGACACTGCGGTCCAGCAAGGGCAAGGACCCCGACAAGAGCCCCACAGCAGCAGATGTGGGCCTAGAACCTCTCGCATCCCACTTCTTAGTGGCTGTTTCCCTTGGGCCATGTGACCCTGTTGCTCCAGCAGCCCCTACCTGGGGTCACTGTAATCCAGCCCAGCATGGCCTTCCCCTTTCTGGTTCCTGCTTGTGGCCCAGGCCTGGACTTAAAAGCAGAAGTCTGCAGGGGGCAGGTGGAAGGGGTAAGGAAAAGGTGATTCTTCAATGCCAGCCTGCCTGCCTGGCCTGGTAACATGATGGAGTAACAGTAACAATGGCCGATGCACACTGAGGCCTATCACAGCTGGGGTGCCAGGTGCAGCCCACATTAGAAATGCCGCAGACGAGCTCCCTACAGCACATTTTGCTCTCGGCTTAAAAAAAAAAAAAAGCTATATAAAAAAAAAAAATCACCTACAATTCCTAATTTCCTGCTTCCCTTGAGAACGCAAGGCTCTGGGCACCCCAGGCCTGAGCAGCAGTGGCTGCCCGTCCCCATCAGATGGGGCAAGAGCTCCTGGTTCAGCCCAGTCTCCTCCCTTTCCTGTGGCCTCCTATTGGGTGGCTTCCTTAGGGGGCAGCAATCACCAGCATTTTGAGCTGGATACACGGTCCCTCATTCAAGTCTCAATGCTTCCAGGGATGAGCTACGTGATCTCACTTCCCAGGTGAGGAAACTGAGGCTCAGTGGGTAAAAATGAAGAGCTGGGTTTGGGTCCTGGGCTTGTCAATGGGACACGTTAGCCTGGATGCTGGGAGCTGTCCTGGTTCTAAAGAGCGCCCAGCTCTTTCGGCTTGCCTTGGAGAATGTCCCTGAAATCTGAATAGTTTCCCAACTAAACGCCATCTATCTTTGGCCTCTGGAATCTGGATCCTTTCCAGACCAAGTGCTTGAACTTTGATCCATAAAGAATACATCTATAATACTAAGTGGCCCTCACTGAGCACCTACTATATTCCAGTTACGGTGCCAGGGATGAGCTCAGCCAGCCCTCGCCATACACTGAGGGCTGGGGACCATTTGCCCTTTCCTTCAGAGGGAGAAACGAGGCCTGAGAGATGAAATGACTGGTCCAAAGTCACAGCAAGGACAGTCAGCCTGGCTGGGCCTGCGAGGTCAGGCGGTCTAAGTAGTGTCACTATACAGATGGGCAGACTGAGGTCCAGGGGGGAGAGAAGGGCTTTGCTTAGGACACGAGCGCTCAGGCCATCTCTGGCAGAGTGCTGGGCCTTGTTTTCCTGAGCCGGCCCCTGGCCTGGCCAAGGTCCATGATCTGGCCTCTGAGTTATGGCAGTAAATGCCTGTTGGCCTGGGGAGGAGATCGGGCTTGTGTGTGGTGGTTGTGGAGGGCTGGGAGGGGCAGGGGAGGCCAGGCGTCAGGCCTCGGCCATCTTTGCTTTCCTGGGGGCAGGCCATGGTGGCCAAGGGCTTGGCATCAGGACCGACTCCTTGTTTCAGTCAGACAAGCCCTGAATAACCTGCACTTCTGACGGCCCCTGGCGTCGGGGAGGTGGGGGGACAGGAGGCCGAGAAAAGGCAGGAACCAGAGAGAGACAGAGGAACAGAGAGAGGCAAACAGATGACAGAGAACAGGAAGTAGAGACACAGAGAAATGAGAAATGGAGAGACAGGAAGAGAGGAAAAACAGACAGGAAGAGATTATAGGGAGACAGAGAAAAAAGACAAACAGCGTCGCCAGAGAGGAGAGACAAAGAAATGGAAAAAGAACAAGACTGAGGGAGACAGAGAGAAAACTCAGCCCAGATTGGCAGGGACCAGGCCTGGCCTGGAAAGGGGCCCCAGGTCTCTGGGTTCAGTCAGACCCATTTTGGGGGACCGAGTCCTTGCCCTGATCCCAAGCTAAGAGATCCTTGTCTCCCCCAAGGCCAGAGGTACCTGCAGTTAGCCAGGGTGGTTTGAACAGCTGACTCCAATGACCCCGAGGGTCCACCCCTGGAGCCCGGGGCACCTGAGACGTGGCACACACACACACACACAGCCAGGTTTCAGTGGGTACCTGCTGGGGAGCCATGGGAAGCCTTACCTCCGGGCTTGCCCACGAGGCCTGCCAAGCCCACCAGGTCCTTCACAAATCCTGGCACAGGGCAGGCTGCTGCTGTGAACCCCGAACCCCAAGCGCAGCGGGCTAGGGGACCCTCCATGACTCCCAGGATCCAAAGGACCAGGCCCCAACTTCCTAGCCAGACACTAGCGGCCCACAGGAAAGGGCCGAGGCTGCCTCACTCCTTGGCCCTTGCTGTTCCCACCACCCAGGGCTGCCCCGATCAGACTACTCACAGCTCCCTGCAGACACTAGGCCCACTTGCTCTGTCACCAGCTCTGCACGCATGCTGCTCCACTGACCTGGAACACTGGGCCCCTCCTGCACACCCACCCCGGGCTGGCTCCCTTCCACAGTGAAGATTAAGAACATGGAACCTAGAACATTCCCCTCCTTCCACCAGTGTTCTGGTTCTGGCCCTGGTGCTAACTGTGTGACTGTGGGCAAGTCCCTACTCCTTGCTAAGCCTCAAGAAATGTCTTCAAGATGGACCGGGGGACCATGAAGTGCCAGGCAAATCAAACACAAGCAGTCCCTGGCCTTGCTGACCCCGCTCTCTGGAAGGGGCGGAGGCAGGCTTGATCCTAAACAGGACAAGCATTAGGAAGAACACATGTAGGAGCTGGGCTATGAGGAGGCTACAGGAGGTGGTGGTGGTGGTGGTGGTGGTGGGGGAAGCCTCAGTTTCCTGCCCTGAAAAATGCCGTTGGTACTGAGGGGACACCTCAGACAGTTGTAGGGAGGATGAAATGAGATCATGTGAAGAAAATGTCCAGCACAAGCAGTGCTAAATAAATGTCAACTATGTTAACTGCCTTATTATTGCTGCCAACTGTCAGGGTGCCAATCCACCTCTGGCCCCAAGAATATCAAGAATTCAGTCCTGGAACCCAGAAGCTTCTCCTACTCTCTCCTTGCTCATTTTTCTCCAGTCCATGGGACTCCTTGGTGTTCCACAAACATTCTGGGCATGCTCCCACCTCAGGGCCTTTGCATTTGCTGGGTCCTTGGTCTGGACCAATCCTTCCTCAATTATCTTCAGGCCTCCCTCCTTTCATGTCTCTGTTCAAATATTACTCACTCCGTGAAGCCTTAACTGCCCCCTCCCTAAATGTTACTGCCCCCAGCAACATTTCACTTCCCCCTTTTCTGCTATATATTTGCTCCATAATGCTTGCCACCACTGGGCAAGGGAGCTACTTTCCTTATTTACTGGGCTTAGTAAAATACCAGCTCTATTTTTCCTGTCTTATTCACTGCTTTGCCCTCAGGGCCTAGAATGGAGACTGGGACAAAGATGCTCCATATGTATTGAGCCTGGTCCCTCATTTTATAAGTCAGGTCCAGAGAAGGTCGAAGTACTTCTACAACGCCACACAGGAAAGGAACAGAGACAGAGGGAGGGAGACCTACGAAATCTGGAGAAACCAGTCTGTCCAGTCTCCTGCTTCTCCACTCCTCACTCATCACCTTGCCTCCTCACAGCTCCAAGTCAAGAGGAGATAAAGCCTTTACTGAAGGTTTGGGGCATCTGGAGGCTGTCTGCAGCCTCAGATCCCTGCATGGCTGTTCTTCAGAGGGTGAAGGGCATTTGGGGAAATCAGAACCAGACAAAGATGCAATCATGGGGGAATGGAGAAATGGCAGTCTCTTGGGGGAGCTCAGAATGCCTGAGTATGATTTGGTTGAAAGTGGGCAGGGTTTACCCAGGTGGGCAGAGCTGGACACCAAAGGAAGAGGCCTTTGAATCCTTACCCTCGAGTTTCAGGTGGTGAGTCTGACGACAAGAGAGGTAAAACACCTTACTCCAAGACTCACAGGAAACACCAGACTAATGGGGTAGCAATAGGGAGCGCCTACTGTATGCCAGGCACTGCATCAAAGTGGATGATCTCATTTCCTCTTCCCCCAAACACTAAGGAGCAGGTAAACTTTATGTCCATTTTAGATGTGAGGAAACTGAGGCTCAGGGAGGGAAAGTGGCTTGGCCCAGGTCACACAGCAAGAAGCAGTGGGGATGCCAAACCCAGCCTATCCCAGGAAGTGCAGGAGGTTTTAGGTCCATAGGCTAGGTGCTTTGGGAACAAGCTAAAGAAACCATGACATCATGCACCAGGTACCCAAGTCATTAAAAAAAAAAAAAAAAAATCACACCCAGAGCATGGAATTGCAAGTCCAGAAAGGGCCTCTGGTGACCTAGGACTCAACAAGAAAGCAAATGGCCCAAGGTCACACAGCCAGTGATGGCAGAGATGGTAATGCAAACCCAGGCCAGTCAGAGTAGAAAGCCAAACGTGGTAGTGAACCCATGCCCACCCCAGGCAAGGGCTGTGCATGGTGGCTGTCCCCTGGCAAAAGGAAAGATGTCAGAATGTTTGACAAAACAAAGCTTGGTGTGATGGTGACATCCAGGCGGAGAGGCCTCCTGCAGCTCCCAGTCACCTGACTCTGGAGTTCTCCATGGCATTTCCTTAACCCCTGGGGACAGAGCGCCCAGGCAATGAGACTCCTTGGGCTCTACTGGAAGTCAGAGAAGAGTGGGAGAGCCGGTGCTTGCTGGAGCATAAATAGTAGGCACAACAGGAAGGAGCCAGAGACCACTATCTAAGGGCAGAACAGGGGGTAAGGGTCTCTAAACTGTGGTCTGGTTTGGAGAATGAAGGGGGCTGATAATACATGCAATGGGAAAGGGGCAAGGGCTGGACTTGGGATTTGCATACGGGAGGAGCTTAAACTGGAAGATTTACAGTGCCCTCACCACTCGGGATACCGGAATAGAGGAACAGAGTAAGTGCTGAGGCTCCTCTTTGCTGGGGCAGTGGGTGGTCTGTGGCCACTGAAGCTGTAACTAATGGGGCTTGGGGGAAGGGCGGCGCCTGGGGCACTAGGTAGCTGGGGGGTCCCTGAGTTGCGGCTCCTAGAGCAGGGAGGCTGACGTGCCCAGATTTTGGGGGTGAGATCACTGTTTGCTGCCCAGGGCCCTGGCTGGGGCACAGATGGGGCCCTCGGGTGTGAATTCCGGATCTGGGAAACCTGGGATGGGATGTGACTTTTAAGAAGCGGGGGGGGGGAGGGAGGGGGCGGGAGGGAGTGGCAGTGCATGCAGCTGACGGATTGCCTGGGATGGGGGTCCCTAAGTCTAGGGCGCTCTTTGCAGCCGCGGATGCTTTGAGGCTAGGATCCGGATCTGGGGGTGCGATGGGAGCTCTCTATGTGGCCCGGGGAGCTGATACGGCAGTTCCTTGATATAGGGATTGTGCATCTAGAAAGCCCCATGGCTGGAGCTCTGGCTTGAGCTTGGAAGGGGCCCTGGGGTGGGGTCCCCGGACTTGGGGGCGCTATTTGCAAGTTTAGAAGCCGAGGCTGGAGTTCTGCATCGGGGCCTGAGGCTGAGGTTCCGATCTGGGGAACCCGGGGTCGCTGTCCACAGCCCTGCTGCAGGCCCAGAGGGGGGGGCCCGGAGATCTTACCTGGAGAGTAGAGCGCGGCCAGTTCGCGGGCCCCGGCGTGCTGCGCGCCCCAGCGCCGGCAATACGCCGCCTCATCCTCGTCGAGTTCCGGCTGCTGACCCGCCCCATCCTCGGCGCCCGCCATGGCCACTCACCCGGCCCGCCCGGTGCGCTCCGCTGGCGGCGGCAGGGCCGCGGAGTCGCGGCGAGATCACGCCGCCCAATGACCGCTCAGCCCCCGACACCGCGGAGGCGCAAGCGGGGGCCTCGCCCGGCCGCGCGTCACAGCCAATCGGGAACCGCGCCGCGGCCACGATGGCCAATCAGAGGCCGCCGAGCCGCAGCCAACCGCGGCGCCGGGGGGCAGGAACGCCCCTGGTTGCAGCAGGGCACGGAAGGGTGGGGCGGCGGCACGTCCCTCCTCGCAGCGATCCGCCCCCGACCCGGGCCCGCCGCCCGCCCCCCAGGAATAGCCGGCGCGGCACCGCCCACCTCGCGCTCGGTTTACCGGCCTGTGCAATGGGCCGAGGTCGTGCGCCGCCGGACCCAGAAACGCGTTTCTTCAGCACGCACTGTCAAGCGCCTCCTGTGTGCGAGGAGCGCGAGTGGAGGGCGCCGGGCCGGGGCCAGGGAGCCAGCGCTTGGTGGACACTTCGAACAGTGCTCCCTGGTTGGGGCCCCCTCTGCCTGGGCTAGCCTCTCGAGCCCTACCGCGTGCAGAGGTTACGAGGACCGTGCGTCCGCCTACTGTGTGCCTGCTGGTGTTGAGCGCCCGCGAGCCTGAGCCCCAGGACCTCCTGTTCTCTAGAGGGAGAGGACAGTAAACTGACGAGAATGACCTTAAGCGTCACTGTAAGATTTGGTGAGCGCTTAGTATCCGTTAGACCCCGGGCCAAGAGCGAGTCAACAGCCTTTCATTGACTCCTAATAACCAGTGATGTTGCCTCCTCAGAGTCCTCCTGCTTCCCTGCTCAGAGTTGCTCCCTCCTCCAGTCACTGTGACATCATCATGTTTGGTGTTCACAGCGCTTGTCATGGGCAATGAACTTGCAGTTCATGTGTCACCCAGCAGAAAACCAGTTCCTGAGGGCCGGGACGTGCTTTGTTCACAGCTGAATCCCCATGTCTGGATCAGCATAGGGCACATGGTAGAAACTCAGTAAACGCTTGCTGAGTGAATTAAGGCTCAGCCCGATGCTTTCATTCAAATCCTTTGCGCCTTTAATAATTGGATTGTTTGTCTTTTATTGTTGAATTGTAAGAGTTCTTTATGTGTTCTGGACACTGGACTCTTATCAGATATGTGATTTGCAAATATTGTTTCTCATTTTGTTGTGTTTTCACTTTTTGCATAATGTCCTTTGATGCACAAAAATGTTTTTAGTTTTAAAAAAATGTTTTTACTTTCAATGAAGTCCAGTTTTTGTGTTTTTTTCTTTCTTTGTGCCCTAGGTGTCGTATTTCCTTATTCTTTCTTTCTTCTTCTTCTTCTTCTTTTTTTTTTTTTTTACAACTTCATGGTATTCCATTGTGTGTCACAGTGTTGGGGGATGGAGCCCCTGCTGGCTTTGCCTCAAGTCAGTATCATGTTGATCTGGATTGCTCCATTCATTTATGCATCAGATCTTTACTGAGAATTGCTGTGGGCCAGATACTGTGAGAAATGCTGATGGTACAGCAGCAAACAAGACATGTGAGGGCCCTGTCCTCAGAGTTGCAAGAGGGACAGACAAGAAACAGGTAAAAATAATTCATTTAACTAGTAGCCTATTGGTTGTTTCCTGTCCTTAGATGTTGTAAACTTTTTATGTGATGTCAGTGTTGCATGTGGAGGTAGATCAAGAGGGCACACTCTTGAAGTGGGATCGCTGGGATAAATGTTAACTGCCTTTGTCAGTTTGGTAGGTACAGACAAACCATAATTAGGTAGGTGGATACCGGGATTAGAATCACATGCTAATATATACTCCCACAGCTGTGTGCAAGAGTGCTTGTTCCCCACAGCCTTGCCAAAAGAGTGCGGCTGTTTAAGTAGGATTAAAAATTCAGCCCTTCAGTTACACTAGCACATTTCAAGTCCCCTGTGGCAGGTGGCAAGCGAACTGGACAGTACAGATGTAGAACATGTCCATCATCACAGAAAGTTCTGTGGGGCAGTTCTGGTAAAGAGTTGTGCAGTGACCTTGACTTTACATTTTAATAGGGTCTCTCTGGCTGCCCGCAAGGGATGAACTCAGGGGACCGTGCCGAGGCAGGACACCAGGAGGAGGTGACAGTGATGGCTCGGGTAGGAGCGGATGGAGGGTTAGACCGGGGTGATCGTGGATGTGGGGGAAGTGCTTGATTCTGGATGTGCTTTTGAAGGCAGAGCGGCGAGGCTTTGCTGGTCGATGAGATGGGGAGCGGGAGGGAAATGGAAGTCGAGGATGACTTCCAGGTTCCTGGCCTGAGCCACTGGGAGGATGGAGGTGCTGTTGACTGAGCTGGGGGAGAACACAGTGGGAGCACGTTTGGGGGAGGGGGGAGACCAGCAGTTCTGTTTTGGGCATATTGCGTGTGAGATGCATGCTGGATGTTCCGAGCAGAGACGTCAAGTGGGCATCGAGTTGTTTTTCTGGCCTTGAGAATGACATGCGCTTTTGGTCACCAAGTCAGAGCAAATCCAGAAAGGAAGGAAGAGGCAGAGTCACACACCTAAGGTGGGGATGGGTGGGCGGGGCAGAGGTCAAAGTCAGTGATGGGCAATGGAAGGAGCCCAGCCTTCGAAACTTGGAGTCTCACACCTCTGTTTCTGAGCCTATGTAGGTCCATTTTCCTTCGTTAAATGGAAAAAGAATGCTTCATAGGCTTTAGTAAGATTCACAGTGAACAGGTAGGCTACCTGGCAGGCAGGAGACACTGCAGAAATGTTCGTCGCCTCTCCTGTGCGTTACACTTGACTATGAAGGTGTTGGGATGAGATCCACACCCTCATCTGACATTGAAGACCCTGCTGATCTGGGGGCCCTGCTGACTCTCCAGCCTTGTCTCCTGCTGACATCTCCCACTGTCATCCTGCCACAGGGCCTTTGCACTTGCTGTACCTGCTTCCTGGTGAACGGTCTCTCTGGAGAGGCATGTGCCTGGCTCCTTCTCCTCCTTTAGGTCTCTCTTCTCTGGTTCCTCCTGGCTCTGAGACTCAGGCTGCAAAGCTGCCCATGATGGACACCCCCAAGGTGTCACAGTGTTGGGGGATGGAGCCCCTGCCGGCTTGCCTCAAGTCAAGATCATGTTGATCTGGATTGCTCCATTCATTTATTCATCAGACCTTTACTGAAAATTGCTGTAGGCCAGATACTGTGCGAAATGCTGATGGTACAGCAGCAAAAAGATAATCTAATTTCAGGTAGGGACCAATGATGTGGAGAAGTGAAGCAGGCTGCAGAGATGGGTGGAGAATGACAGGGAGTGCTTTATCAGATGGGGAGCAGAGGTGTCAGGAAGGCCTCTCTGAGGAGGTGGCCATTGAGCAGGAACCTGAAGGAAGTGAGGATACCCAGAGAAGATGTGCAGAGGCCCTGAGGCAGGACCATACTTGGTGTGTGCTCAACGGACAGCAAGGAGGCTTATGTAGCTGGAGCAGAAGGTGAGAGGAAAAAAGGGGGAAGGTGGGATCAGAGAGGTATGAAGGAGCCAGATCATTATGCACCATTTAGGCCAAATAAATGTTGAGTTAATGCGTGAATGAAAGAGGCAAACAGAGAGCTATGGGAATGCATACGTAATGGCTACCTATCTCAGGGTAAGAAATCAGGGACGGCTTCCTGGAGGAGGAGATACCTGAGCTGACAACTGAAGTAAAGTCAGAACTGGCTGGGGAAAGGGAGTCAGGTGAGGTATGAGGGTCTTCCAGACACAGGGAATAGCATGCACACAGACCCAGGGGTGAGAGATTGTTTTCCTCACTGAATTGAAGAAAAAAAAAACAATCGGCAAGGCTGGAGTATAGCAGGAGAGGAGAGTTGTAGAGAAAAGTAAGATCCGTGGGGGCTTGGGCCATGCTTGGTGCCCCACATAGGAATCTTGACCTTTCCAAGGGCAGCACCAGGGTGCCCCGCAGAGTTGAAGATCCAATTTGTGCTTTGAGAAGCTCCCTCTAGTTGCTGAGAGGAGGTGGATTAGAATGGGGTGAACCTAGAGGGAAGGGCGATGAGTAAGAAGGGTCCACAGGGATGGTGGGTGAGGGGGCTGGAGGTCAAGGGAGGCTGCCACAGGGGCTTGTGCCAGCGGACTTCTTTCTCCCACCTCTTTATGCATCCTCTCCATCCATCTGAGTGTGCTTATGCTGGGTGAACGTTTTCAGCGTCTGCTCCGAGCCGGCCCCGTGCTGTGGGCTGAGGGACCTGTGGGGAACAGAGTCTCATTCCTGAGAGATGTTCCTTAGTGACACACAGCGCCCTGCGTTGAGGAGAATGTTGAAGATCCTGCCTCAGGCATATTTACGTAGGCTCCGCACAACACAAATTGACTGCAAAAATGAGCTCCACTCTAATTTTAATTTTTACAATTCATTTATTCGCCCAGCAAATATTTATTGAGCATGTATTACAAGGCAGGACCTGCTCTAGGTACTAGAAACGTAACAGGAAAGAAAGAAGACAAAAATCTCTGCCTCCTGGAGTTGACATCTGGGGGGGTGGGAAGGGAGATGGACAATAATCACTAAGGACTAAACTATGCTGACATGCTAGGGGGTGATGGCTGCTTTGGAAAAACAACAACAACAATAACAAAACAACAACAACAAAGCAGGGTAAGGAGGATTGGAAGCTGGGAGGATGGAGGGCAGGTTGAGTAGTTAACGAGGGTAGCCAGGGAATGCCTCACTGAGAAGGTGATAAACTAAAGATAGAAGGTGAGCACATTAAAGGTGGGGATGGAGGGAGCCATGTGAGACTGTAGGGGAATAGTGTTCCAGATAGAGCCAAAAGCCAGCGCAAAAGCCCTGAGGTGGGGAGGAGCCTTACTAGCTTTAATGATTGACTGAATGTATGGGCTGTTAAGAAAAAGTAGACTTGGGGCCCACAGGGACCTTAAAAGTTCCAGGTCATAGCCTAGCGGAAGGACCAAGGGTGTCGGAGTTTCCTGGCTGTGAGAAGAGTCTCA